TTCAGGTAAATGGACATCTCAAAATACTCAACTATATTACAACTTATAAGTGCAGAAACTTAGTGTGTGCCAAAATAGCAATCAGTACGGTCAATGAAGTCCAGAAGAAAGTCTATTATTTTTAAAAAAGCACAAAGTCAAGACATAAACCATGTTCAATATATTGAATTAGCTCAATATAACTTTTACAATCTTTAAGATGAAAGAATCAGAAAAGAGCAAACCGATTTATCAGGATACAGCCAGCAACTGCCATGTCCTGCAAAGTCCTGAATAATAGAGATCCAATATTGTACAAATCAACAATATTTCAAAAAAGTCCTCAAAATTCTCCAGGAATTGTACCACAACAGCTGTTTTGGAGAAGGTAATAGATATTTGAGCATACACAACTTGCATTTATACAGCAACTTTCTTTTCAAAAAATTCTACATAGACAGAATGAGACCCCGAGGAAGATAAGAGGTAAGAGGAAAAGGAGGAAGTTGGACAAAGGCACAGTCTAAGTCTAAGTTTTTGAATTAGGATTTGAAGGCGGAGAGAATATGAGAGTCTTCATACTAACTGAATACTTAAAGCAATGGATCATTAAGGCATTTCATTTGATACAGCAAAAAAACACTCAAGTAAAATATCAATTTATACACTGAACAATTCAAAGTACAATATGAGGATAACATACTTTGAGAAACTACTGCAGGAAGTTCTTCATTATTAAAAATTAATAATTGCAGAAACAAATACTGACTACAGCACAGAAGTGGAGAAAGTTCAGAGATAGAGGATACACACCTCATCAACAACAACAACAACAAGATTCCATTTATTGAGCGCCTTTCACGTCGGGACGACGTCCCAAGGCGCTGTACAGTTGGGTCAGGACCCGAGCAGGGGGGATATGGTCAGGGTGAGGGGAGGGAAGGGAGGGAGCGAGGAGGGGGTAGAGAGTCGAGAGGGGAGCTGAAGGCACGGTCAAAGAGAAAGGTCTTGAGACCGGCCTTGAAGGAGGAAAGGGAGGAGGCGGCGAAGGCACTGGGGGATGGAGTTCCAGAGCCTCGGGGCTGAGAGGCTGAAGGCCCGGCCACCGATGGTAGGGCGGTTGGGCGGGGGATGTGGAGCAGACCGGAGCCAGAGGAACGGAGGGTACAGGCAGGTAGGTAGGGGGATAGTAGGTCGGAGAGGTAGGAGGGAGCAAGGCCGTGAATGGCCTCTAGGTGAGGATGAGGATCTTGAATTCGATCCTCTGGGGGATGGGGAGCCAGTGGAGGTGAGCGAGGGTGGGAGTGATGTGGTCCTGGTGCGGGACAGTACACGAGCTGCAGAGTTCTGAATGACCTGCAGCTTGTGGAGGGAGGTGGCGGGAAGGCCGGCGAGGAGAGAGTTCCCATAGTCCAGCCTTGAGGTGATAAAGGCGTGGACCAGAGTTTCAGCAGCGTGAGGGGTGAGGTAGTGCCGTAGTCTGGCGACATTCTGGAGGTGATGGAAGGCGGTGCCAGTTGTGGCGCGGATATGAGGGAGAAAGGACAGCTCAGGGTCGAACAAAACGCCGAGGTTCCTGACTGGCTTTGAGAGGTGGAGAGTGCAGCCTTGGATGCTGATGGTGTCAGCGCCTGAGGTGCGGAGGCGCTGACGTGAGCCAATCAGGAGGGCCTCGGTTTTGCGCACGTTGAGCTGGAGAAAGTTATCTCTCGTCCAGGACTCGATGTCGGACAGGCAGACTGTCAGGACATCGGTGGTCGTGGAGTTGAGGGTAGAGGAGGAAAGGTAGAGTTGGGTGTCATCCGCATACATGTGGAAGTTAACCCCATGTCTGCGGATGATGTCACCAAGGGGGAGCATATAGAGGGTGAAGAGGAGGGGACCGAGGACAGAGCTTTGAGGGACACCGCACGAGACAGTGCGGGGGCCGGAGGAAAAGCCATTTGTGGAGACAAAGTGAAGACGGTGGGAGAGGTACGACCTTAACCACTCAAGGACAGGGCCTTGAAGGTTTAGGTGGGAGGACAAGCGGTGGAGGAGGATAGCATGGTCGACCGTATCGAATGCTGCCGATAGGTCGAGGAGGACGAGGAGGCAGAGGGAGCCCTGGTCACAGATGGTCAGGATGTCATTGGTGACCTTGACCAGGGCAGTTTCTGTGCTATGGGCAGCACGGAAACCCGACTGAAGGTGTTCGAATAGTGAATGGTTGGAGAGGAAAGAGCGCAGCTGGGAGGCGACAACTCGTTCCAGGACCTTGGACAGGAAGGGGAGGTTGGAGATGGGCCGGGAGCTTGATAGCTGCGACGCATCAAGGGAGGGTTTTTTTAAGGTTGGAGTGATGGTGGCAGTTTCTAAGGGAATGGGAATAGAGCCAGAGGAGAGGGACAGGTTGACGATGTCTGTGATATGTGGGGCAAGGAGGTGGAGCTGGGAGATAAGGAGTGGAGTGGGGATGGGGTCAAGGGAGCAGGTGGTGGGTTTCAGGGATAGGATGCGTTTGGTGACAGAGGGTGGGGAAACGGGTACGAAGGTGTGTAGGGGAGGATGGGTAGGAGTCGGAGTGTAGGAGGGAAGGGGAGGGTGGTGGGTGGATGTTGGAGGGGAAGTGACCGCGGAGCGAATTCCCTTGATCTTGGATTCAAGGAAATCCAGCATCTCCTCGCAGTGAAGGTTGGAGGAGATGACCTGCGCGGGGTGGCGGGGGGGACGGAGGAGTTGGGATGTGGTAGAGAACAGTAGCCTGGGGTTGTCCTTCGCCTCCAGGATTATCCTGGAGTAGAAGGACGATTTGGCCGAGGCTAGAGTGGAGCGGTAGATTTTGAGGAGGTCCAACCAGATTTGTCGGTGGACCATTAGGCCAGATTTGACCCAGGTGCGTTCAGCGGCCCGCACCTGGCTCTTCAGTGAGCGGAGGTGGGTGGTGAACCAGGGGGAGGAGCGAGAGTAGGAGGCAGTACGGGAGGTGATAGAGGCAAGAGTGTCAAGTGTGGAGGAGAGGGTGTTGTGGAGGAGGGTGAGAGCAGAAGAGGGATCGGTGAGGGTTGAAGGCCAGAGGGAGAGGAGTTCAAAGGACTCCAAGGCAGCGGTTAGGGATTGAGGGGGTAACTTCTTCCAGGGGCGGTAGAAGATGGTGGTGGGTCTGGTGGAGGTGGGGAGGGGGGTGGAGGTGGTGAAGGAGATGAAGTGGTGGTCGGAGATGGCCTTGTCGGTGATGGTGACATCCGAGACACTGAGGCCTCGGGTGATCACCAAGTCGAGTTGGTGGCCGTGACTGTGAGTGGGGGAGTTGATGTGGAGGGAGAGGTTGAGCGAGGAGTGAGAGTAGGAGACAGTACGGGAGGTGATAGGGGCAAGAGTGTCAAGTGTGGAGGAGAGGGTGTTGTGGAGGAGGGTGAGAGTAGAAGAGGGATCGGTGAGGGTTGAAGACCAGCGGGAGAGGAGTTCAGAGGACTCCAAGGCAGCGGAGCAGCATCTCATATGAGAGTAATAAACACCAATAATTTTGCAGGACAAATCACGCTTCAAATGAGTGTTCCCCTCTTGCACTTAAATTTAATATCCATTGTGCTACAACTGGAGGAAAGACCTAGACATCATGAACGTTGTTCAGTCACTTGTAGCAAGCAAGTTGTCAGAATGAGATTAATTATCAGCTGTATTCCGCGACACAGAGGGGACAGATTTAGTCCCCATTAAACTATTTCAGGCATTTACAGGAAACAACTGTTCTTAAACTCTCTTTATACTATGAAAGCATATCTCTTCGAATAAAGAAGTGAATCCGAGCATAAAACTAGATTTATACTATTGGTCCTGAATCAATCCTGCCCAGAGCTAAAGAGAGCTTAACACGTGTGCTGCACAGCACTAATGACTAATCTTTCAAACCTTTAGTGAGATTGACGGACCTGCCCAGGAACGTTTGATATTAAGCAGGAAGTAGAAACCACAATTTCCCTCTCCACATCCAGCCATATAACCCATGGGATATTAAGGTTAAAGGTGGGAGAGTGCTATAAAATTGTCAGATAGTTCATTTGCTACTGATGAACATAATCCTCTATTTATAAAACCTTGATTAGAATTTTGTACTGTGCTTCAACAAATTAATTTTAATTTTCCCACCTCATTGATCCGAGGAAAAATCAAAGACAAAATGCTCAATTGATTGAAATATGTTCCCTTCTCATTAAACTTACTGCTGATTTGTTCTATTTAAAATCATAGTGTTCCCCCCCATTGTGCAAATGGCTGCCACGTTTCACCCACAAAATACACAGTAAATCCCCTTTACAATATAATCTGTGAAGCGCTTTGAGATGTCTCAATGACATGATAAGGTGCTATATCAAATGCAAGGAATATTATTATTAATATTACAAACATATCGCTCAATCTAGATATTCAGTAACTGAATGTTATAAAACGTCAATTAAAATCTAGGTCATGTTTGTACCAACAAAATGATTTGTGAAAACCCGCTGCCATGAATCACAGTGATGTCGAGGAACACGCATTTAAATTGCAAATATTGCCTTGAAGTCAAGTTCTTGACCTTTTTGAGCCCTAATTTTGGTAGATCTTGACAAAATGAGTTAAAAGCAACACACACTCAATATCATTCAGCCATTACCTTTCAATGCAGAATGTTTGCCTGAGCGCTGAAATAAATACTTTGAAAATGATCAATAGATATTTTCTTCTCCTTCACCAGTATGTTCCAGTTTTTCTTCCTTTTAAATTGAATGCGGCTTTTTAATGGCTATCTTGTAGGTTTTACTGATGCCATCAAGCTTCTGTCGGAAAGATTTGATGCACTGGTACTTGGGCCTAATATATACATTATTCCACTTTACTCCTTTATCTAGTGACCAGGCACTGTGCACATAGAACCAAGTTATTTCATTGAATACTATCTTGCTTAAATTGCCAATATTTGTAGAAATAGAATAGTGAGCTCTATGTAATGATACATGAAAAGCAATTGTAAAATCTACTCCAAATACTAAGATTATCACCTCTCTTGCTAATGTTCTGGCCTTTTCTTCTGCTTCTTGGAGCTTACTTTTTACGTCTGATATATCTTGGATAGAATGAATCTGTGTGAAGTCAAAACTTTCCACCTGAAAATGCAAAATCAATATTTCTCAATTATTACCAATACTATAAGCTTATCTCACTTAAATATGTGTTAGCATCAGTTGTACACCTTTGATATCAATTTATGAACAGCACATTATTAATAATGATAATCATTGCATTTAATATAGTGCATTTTACATCAGGAGGATGTCTCAAAGTAAATACAGGCTTTTACTCATGAGATGTTAAGTCAAGGCTGCAGCTGCCTGTTCAGGTGGATATTAAAAATCCATGGCACAATTCGGAAAGAGAAGCGAGTTTCTTCCAGTGTCCTGGATAGCAATCCTCCAGATAAAATTGCTCATTCACTTCATGGCTGTTCGTGGGAAGTTGTTATGTGCAAAATGGCTGATGTGTTTGCCTATAAAATAGGCTTTGAGATGTTTTGATGACATGATAAGACTCTATATTAAATACAAGGATCATTATTATTATTTTGTATATATTCTCAGATGAATACAACTTTAGATCAGAAGTTATGTTGGGGTCTAAAATGTCATAATTATACAACACTAAACTCATTAATAAGTGTTAAAAGTCACAAATGGGTACTCCTTTTGGGAACTGGAAATGTACTGAAATGGAGAGCAGTTTGGTGTGGCACACCATTATCGTGTTGTTGTCAAGAAATACCCAAAAATCTATTTCTATAATCATGAAATCAGAATCACAAAACATCATAAGATGGCTTCAATTGATCGTCTCAGGATGAGGAATTATAACAATACTTGTTTGCCATATAGATCCCTGAACATTCACACAAGTCCAGGTAAGTCCATGTTCTATTGATAGCGTGTTTCCAGGTTTTTCTTGATTGAATATTTCTTGTTTTATAGCACAAATCAAGAAATATTCAATCAAGAAAATGTATTCTGTTGCCTAACCGAACGATCGGCCACCACTGCTCTAGGTAATTGTAGCTCACTCATGGCTTTGTCAAGGAATCCACTTGCTATGATCATAGCTCATGCTGCTGTGACATACTAAGAGCAATGTCCTATGCTGGAAGTAGTGGAATGTGCTGTTTTATTCCACAGTGAGTACAGAAAATCACACAATAAGCAATAAAACAAAAGTTCTGATCATTATATACAGAAATCCTAAAATAAATGTGGTTTTCAACAAAATAATCGTTGTATTTGGTATAGCGCCTATAACATTAAGAACACTCCAAAGAGCTTCACATGTTTCTCTGGAGTGTAGTGATTTGTGTATTTGTAGACAACCTCCTAGAGACAATATTTACAACTTGATTGTAACAATTACCATTTTTATGACATAGGGACAAAGTTTTTCAGCAATGTTTATAGTATTGTACAACAGATATTTTATTTTAATACTCGCTACAGTGCATTTTAGTTGTGTTTATTTCATAGGTGCTGCGGGTAAAAAAATTGCTTTCCATTGTCCATTCTCCACTGTGCAAGAATATGCACTGTGGAGTCCTGTAGCAACTTTCCTTACTCCACACACCTGATAATAATCCCTCAAGAAAAAAAAACAATAATAAATTAGTTGCATCAATCAACGACTATTGTGGGACACTGCTGTCCGCAATTGGCTGCCGCTATTCGCCCACAAATATAAAGTCAATTCACTTTACAGTATATTCTGTGAAGCGCTTTGAGTGTCTAGAAGGCGTAAAAAAGCACTATATCAAATGCAAGGATTATTAATATTTTCTTAATAATGAAGGCCATAATAGGTTAACCTGGGCCATTTCCTCCCTACTCACGAAAGATTGTGATGTGGGTTTCTGGAGTGGTAGAAATCATAAATACAGCAAAACATTTATATCACTGATCTATTGATGCATTGTCTCAACATTTCCCTGGCTTCACATACCTAATGTATACACAGAAATGTCAGGCCTGTGTTGAGGATAATGTATTATTGTCCCACTGAAGAGCGTAGAGTCAATATTCTGTAATTCATACATTCAATATCCTGTGATCGGAATAAAGGTTGTGGGCAATGTGTGTGATCTGAATAAAGTTAGTAGATGAACAAAAGATAGGAAAGAGTTGGATGATAAATAGAGGAAGTCATTGACATGGAGAAGCGGACTATAGTATTTTAAAATAAAGTGCTTGCTGCCCATTACTCTAATTGTAAACTGTTATGTGTTGTGTCTTTGTGATATAAAAATGCTAATTATTACAATGAAGCATCCATAACTCTGGAGGCAATGGTGAAGGACAAAAGAGCCCTACGGGACCTCCTACATTGATGGGGAAAAGATTCAGACGATTAACCATCTGATGCAGCTCAGAAGTGTTGATTTGACAGGAAACGAGATAATCCTTGGATAACTCTGCTGAAGTCGATAATAACCCTGTCAGAGTCTTTGAAGATGTTCACCACAATGTTCAACAGCAGAGACCCGCTGGGTTGAAATTCCAGTAAATTTGCTAAAATAAAAGGGTTTCATTGCACAAACACACATAATTGGCTGCCGCATTTCGCCCACAAAATATAGTTAATTCACTTTACAATATATTCTGTGAAACGCTTTAGACGTCTCGAGAATAATAATGATAATAATCCTTGCATTTGATACAGCTTCTTATTACATCTTCAAGAAGTCTCAAAGCGCTTCACAGAATATACTGTAAAATGAATTGACTGTATATTTTGTGGACGAAATGCGGCAGCCAATTACACACATAAGCATTCCACAAACAGTTGTGGATTGAAGTGACTAATCTACTTTTTTTTTAAGGAATTATTACCCCCGGAAAAGCAATCTGCCAATCAACTAACAACCGAGAGTTCCTACTTATTGCTCGGTAAACAGAGGCTTGTGGAATAAGAAAACTTGCCCAGTGTTTTGCCCTGCAAGGAATTAAACCCAGGTCTCTCGCTTGCGAGGCAAGTGCTCTAACCACTGAGCTACAGAACTCCACAGATGTGATAAGGTACTATATCAAATGTAATTATTATTATTATTATAAGGTGCAATATTCCTCAATGGGTTACATTTCTGGCAGAGTTATTCATTCTCAGCATTGACAATAGGACAGCAGGTTCAGTATCAAGGTCAACAAGAACTTCAACAAGTGCAAGGAGGTACTAATGGCAGATGTGCATGGTCAGAGTATATCAACCCTGACATCGACAGGGAAAGGTACAGCAGTAATGGCTGGAATAAGAGCTGAAGGAATCCTGTGATAAACATCAGATTCAGATATGTCTCTCGGGTGGTGCTGGTAGAGCATGTGATAGAACTACAGGATAATCTCTTCAAGGGCTCCCAGCCACATTGCCAGATCAAAACCAGCAAGGCAGCCTGACAGGTAACAGCAATGTGCTACCCAGTGAATGTTTTTCAATAAGAGTGCCAACGTACTGTGTAGTTCAAATCTCCTGGAATTAAAGTTTTCTAGTAATTGTAGCCACTGTAATACAGGAACTTTTGGCCATGGTACTGAAAGGAGTCTGCTAGGGGTAATAATGACCAGCGCATTATGCTCCAGAAGGAATATGGAATGGAGAACACTACTGCCCCAGTGCTCAATAGTGTTCCTTTCTTCCTTACACCTTAATGAGAAAGATTAGTGAGAATGCTGCAGGGAGAACGACGGACAGCAAATCGACTGACTCTTCTGAGGGCTCCCACTGGACTTTTGAAGGAGCCAGTAGCATAAAAATTGAGGGCAACGAGTTAGGATTAGGGTTAGTTCACCCTTCCAATGAAGATAATAATAATAATAATAATAATAATAATCCTTGCATTTAATATAGCGCTTTTCAGGTCGGAAGGACGTCCCAAAGCGCGTCACAGAACACACTGTAAAGTGAATTGACTATATATTTATGAGCGAACGCGGCAGCCAATTGCGCACAGCAATGTCCCACAAACAGTCGTAGATTGAAAATGACCAATTTATTATTGTTTTTTTTTGTTTTGGAGGGATTATTATTAGGCTCTGTGTGGAGTAAGGAAACTTGCCCAAGGTTTCGCCCTGCCTGGAACTGAACTCAGGTCTCTCGCTTGCAAAGCGAGTGCTCTAACCACTGAGCTACAGGACTCCAAGATAGCATGATCCTGGCACTACAATAGTGTGGGTCTATTTAAAATTGGTGCTGTGTAAAACCTGAACTATTGATTTTATCTTTGTATTGGGCCTTCAGTTCATTGAAAGCTCTCTTCTCCTCTCGAACATTTTCCAGAAGACACTGACAGGGTAGACCTGAACAGTTATCTCGATCCATTTCCATCATTTCCTGAAATCAATCAATCACCCCCATAGCTAGAATGTGCTGGGAGCTGGACCTCAGCTTTCTGCGCCCTCTCCACAAAGTGACGCCATTATTTTCTTTTCATTTTCCATTGAAATGAATGTTAATATAAGGCAGTCACATCGTGCACCTTGTGCTTGTTGTAAAGACCCCAGAGCTTCAGTCTGATTGTCTACAGTTCCACCGTCAAATTCTGATACTTCCAGAGACTAACACTCAAAAAAGAGGAATATGGCACCATTAGCATTTTGATGTGTAAAAAAAATACAGCGTCAGCATCCGCACTCCTTTACGATTTATTAACTGGAATTTCAACCTCAGAGTTTTTAAGCATCATTAAAACAAGATATTATTATAAATTTTAAAAATCCTTGCATTTAATACAAGACCTTATTACATCCTCAAGACATCTCAAAGCGCTTCACAGAATATACTTTAAAGTGAATTGACTATATATTTTGTGGGCAAAACGCGGCAGCCAATTGCGCACAGCAGTGTCCCACAAACAGTCGTGAATTGAGTGACCAAATTATTATTATTATTTTATTGACACACCAACATGTTGCATCTAGGTTGTGCTGTGAGGTATTGCTGTTAAATGGAAAGCTAACCTTGACTTAATAATAATATTCCTTGCATTTGATATAGCACTTTTATTGAAGTGTCAAATCATTTCACAGAATTTACTTTAAAGCACAGTGACTCTGTATTTTGTGGGTGAACTCAGCAGCCAATTTGTGCACAGCGATGTCCCACAAATCCCACATGTGTCATGACTCGAAAAGTGAAGGGATTTAATATTGCTGACTGTTAATCAGAACAATGGGAGATAATCCCTTCACTTTTCGAGTGGAAAAGTGGGTTCTTTCACATCCACATGAACAGACAGACAGGACCATCTCATTCCGAAGGACGGCATCATCAACAATGCAGTGCTCTTCCAGTACTGCCCTGAGTGAGGGCATATAGATGAGCTCAAAGCCCCAATGTGGGACTTGAACTCACATCCTTCCTGTCTCAGAGGCGAGAGTGCTATTATAACTGGGATTGTGGAAACCATTAGTACGTTCCAAACATTAAGTAAAATGGGTGATGTGAAAAGTCTCTCCTCACCAAATTCTCGATGTGGTTTGGATTTTCCAGGATGCAGCTCTTCGGCTGTGTTATGCTGCAACCAAAATAATAAAATAAGTTACTAGAGCACATTATTTAGTTGTATTATACATTTTGTGGGAGAAATATCATAGGAGAAACATTCCTAAAACAAGTTACAGTATGAATATCCTATAATGTACTGGCATCATTCCTCTCTGACCCACTCACATACTCCTTGTTCCTCATTCCTTCACTTGTTCCTTAGCTTGGTATTGTCATAAAACAGTGGGTCATAAAACAGTTCTCTTTCCAGACTTGTTGGGCAAAGATTTTCATGTCAGCAATGATTTCACTGCTACACTTAGAAACAAATCTGCCCACCTTGGCTGCTAATGGGTTCCCAAGCGAGGCAAGTTGTCATAGCAACTTGAACCAAAAGTCAGAAAAATGAAAAGATGAAACCCTATTATAATAATCCTTGCACGTGTTATATATGGCGCTTCACAGAATATACTGTAAAGTAAATTGGCTGTGTATTTTTGTGGGTTATTGAGCACAGCAACGTCCGACAAACAGTCGTGGATTGAGGTGACCAAATTATTTTAAAAAGTTATTTTGAAAGAATTATTACCCCCGGAAAAGCGATCCACCAATTGACTAACAACCGGGCTCCTACTTGCTGCTAAGCGCTCTGAGATGCCATCCTGTGTGGGGGGCGCTATATAAGTGCAGGGTGGTGTTGTTGCTAGGGAAGCAGGTGTGCGGCGTAGGGAAGCAGGTGTGCGGCGTAGGGAAGCAGGTGTGGGGGAGTGGGGAAGCAGGTGTGGGGGAGTGGGGAAGCAGGTGTGGGGGAGTGGGGAAGCAGGTGTGGGGGAGTGGGGAAGCAGGTGTGGGGGAGTGGGGAGAAGGTGTGGGGGAGTGGGGAAGGGGGGGGGGGGGAAGGGTGTGGGGGAGTGGGGAGAGGTGTGGGGGAGTGGGAGAAGGTGTGGGGGAGTGGGGGGAGAAGGGTGTGGGGGGAGTGGGGGAGAAGGTGTGGGGGAGTGGGGGAGAAGGTGTGGGGGAGTGGGGGAGAAGGTGTGGGGGAGTGGGGGAGGGGGAGTGGGGGAGGTGGGGGAGAAGGTGTGGGGGAGTGGGGGAGAAGGTGTGGGGGAGTGGGGGAGAAGGTGTGGGGGAGTGGGGGAGAAGGTGTGGGGGAGTGGGGGAGAAGGTGTGGGGAGTGGGGGAGAAGGTGTGGGGGAGTGGGGGAGAAGGTGTGGGGAGTGGGGAAGGTGTGGGGGAGTGGGGGAGGAAGGTGTGGGGGAGTGGGGGAGAAGGTGTGGGGGAGTGGGGGAGAAGGTGTGGGGGAGTGGGGAAGGTGTGGGGGGAGTGGGGGAGAAGGTGTGGGGGAGAAGATGTGGGGAGTGGGGGAGAAGGTGTGGGGGAGTGGGGGAAGGTGTGGGGGAGTGGGGGAGAAGGTGTGGGGGGAGAAGATGTGGGGGAGTGGGGGAGAAGGTGTGGGGGAGTGGGGGAAGGTGTGGGGGAGTGGGGAAGGTGTGGGGAGTGGGGAGTGGGGGAGAAGGTGTGGGGGAGTGGGGGAGAGGGTGTGGGGAGTGGGGAAGGTGTGGGAGCGCGGGTGTGGGGTTTGATGGCCCAGGAGGGCAGTGGGGGGACCTTTTAAGGTCCAACGGGGCTGAAGGTTTCCGCCGAACGGGAGGAGGGAGCGACGCTCTGAAGGGAATGGGGTTTGTTTTTTGTTGTTGTTGATGTTGTTGTTGTTGTCGATGTTGCACCACGTGGCACACACAGCGCGCGCACACACACCTGCGCACTCTCCGCGCGGCGGCGGCGGCGGCCGAGTTGGCCTCCGGGCTCGTGCTGTCGGGTCTCACTGAGATCATCTTGACGTTGCCGCTCGCCGTGTGCCCCATCTCACAGCCGGACCGTCCCGGCCACCGGCACCAGTCGCCCATGGATCGCCGCCCGCAGACAGCGCTGTGAGGCGCTATGCGGCCCCCGGGGACAGCGACACACACATACACACACACACACACACACACAGCGCTGCCGCTCAGCTCCGCGTGTGTGTGTGTGTGTGTGCGGCACAGCGGCGTCTCCCGGCAACCGGGCAGTCAGCCCTACGTCACAATGGCCCGGCGGCGGCTCCCTGATTGGCACCCGAGCGGCCCAATCACCACCCGCCGTGGGCTGAGCCGCGCCTCCGGGTTGGTTGCTCGGCCACTGTACCGCCCCCTCAAGCCCCGGGAAATTTAAAAAAACTGCCACAGCCCCTCCACACCCACTCCACCACCCACACCACCCACACCACCTAATCCTACTACCCCATCCTAACTCACCCACCCACACCACCTAATCCTACTACCCCATCCTAACTCACTCACCCACCCCACCCACACCACCTAATCCTACTACCCCATCCTAACTCACCCACCCACCCACACCACCTAATCCTACTACCCCATCCTAACTCACCCACCCACCCACACCACCTAATCCTACTACCCCATCCTAACTCACCCACCCACCCACACCACCTAATCCTACTACCCCATCCTAACTCACCCACCCACCCACCACCCACACCACCTAATCCTACTACCCCATCCTAACTCACCCACCCACCCCACCCACACCACCTAATCCTACTACCCCATCCTAACTCACCCACCCACCCCACCCACCACCACCTAATCCTACTACCCCATCCTAACCACTAACTCACCCACCCACCCACACCACCTAATCCTACTACCCCATCCTAACTCACCACCCACCCCACCCACACCACCTAATCCTACTACCCCATCCAACTCACCCACCACCCACACCTAACCTACCCATCCTAACTCACCCACCCACACCACCTAATCCTACTACCCCATCCTAACTCACTCACCCACCCCACCCACACCACCTAATCCTACTACCCCATCCGAACTCACCCACCCACACCACCTAATCCTACTACCCCATCCTAACTCACTCACCCACCCCACCCACACCACCTAATCCTACTACCCCATCCTAACTCACTCACCCACCCCACCCACACCACCTAATCCTACTACCCCATCCTAACTCACCCACCAACCAACCCACCCACACCACCTAATCCTACTACCCCATCCTAACTCACCCACCCACACCACCTAATCCTACTACCCCATCCTAACTCACCCACCAACCAACCCACCCACACCACCTAATCCTACTACCCCATCCTAACTCACCCACCCACACCACCTAATCCTACTACCCCATCCTAACTCACCCACCCACACCACCTAATCCTACTACCCCATCCTAACTCACCCAACTCACCCACACCATCTAATCCTATTGCTCCATCCTAACTCACTCATTCACCCCCCCCCACCCACCATTCCTAACCAATGTGGCCAAATTGTGTGGGTTCAAGACCAATTGTTGCACTATGAGTAAAAAATGGCTTTGGGCGGGTGCCTAATTTTTAAATTTAAACCAGCAACCCCTCCCCCACCGCACTCTCCACCCTCCCGGGCCTTTTCTTACACAGTTTCAAAAGCACTAACCAAGATTGGCCACTCTGCTACCCATGGTAGATAAAGCACAACATTGTGCTATTTTTGTTGCCTTTGGGCTACAAACATATTTTAATTTCTAGCAACCCTGCTCCTAACTCACCTTTCTAACCACCCACCCACCCCTCCTAACTCTCTCTTAAGGAATTCTGTGTTATCCACAGAATCTCAGTTGGATCTGTGAAACTCTTTGACGTGAACTGCACGTATAATGCATCTCCCTTTCTACACAAATTTGTTATGATAATCATCCTTGCATTTGTCGCGCCTTTCATATCATAAAGATAACTCAAAGTGCTTCACCACTCTTTGTCCCATAATGTCTCACAAACAGCCATAAAGTGGCCAATTGACCAATTCATCTGGGAGATTGTCGGCAAGCACACCGGGAGAAACAATCTTTTTGGAGAGCTCCAGAGCATATTTAATGCTCACCTGAGCAAATAGACAGGATCTTGGTTTATTGTTAAACTGATGGAAGCCCCAACTATGCAGCACACCTTCAGCACTGCATTGGAGTATCAGTATCTGAGTTCAAATTCATGATGTGAGGCGTGAGCACAGCCTTTTGATTCAAAGGCAAGAATGCTGCTAACTGCTCCAGTTGGACTGATGCTCCATGAAATGTCTCTGTGAGGTGTGTTCGAGGAAGAACTACATTGGCATTTAAGAAGGCAATAAATAGATGTCTAAAAAAGGTGTTATTTGTATGGGCAAGGGAAGTATTATTTGTATGGGTAGGTAAACTGGAATGAATGGATTGCTCCTTCAAAGAACAAGCATAGATAGGAGGGGTAAAAAGGCCTTCTTCTGTTCTGTATATATCTATGGTTCTATGTAAAGAAGTTTCACAATATAACTGAAGTTGTTGCTGAATTAAATAAATTGGAAACACATATTAAAATATTTTGGTTCATTTGTCAGCCAGTGTTATCATGGCGCAGTGGTAGCACTCTGGCCTTTGAGTCAGAAGTTTATGGATTGAAGTCCCACATCAGACTTTGGAATTGCATAGTCCAAGCTGACACTTCAATGCAATGCAGGGAGTGTGCTTCATTGTCAGACGTTTGGAGGGCAGGGAGGGTAGGGGTAAGAGGGTGGCTAAAGACTGGGTCGAAAAGGAGGGTCTTGAGACATGCCTTGAAGGAGGAAAAGGAGGGAGTAAGGTGAAGGGACTGTGGGATGGAGTTCCACAGGGTGGGGGCAGAGAGGCTGGAAGCCCAACCACCGATGGTGGGGTGGGCTGGGAAGGGGAGGTGGACCAGGCTGGAGCCTGCTGAGTGGAGGGAGAGGACAGGATGATATGGCGTTAGCAGGTCTCAGAGGTAGGAAGGAGCAAGCCCATGGAAGGCTTTGAATGTGAGGACAAGGATTTTGAACTCTAGCCTCTGGGGTATGGGGAGCCAGTGGAGTCAGGTGAGGATGGGGATGATAGGGTCACTGAGTGGGAGATGACACGAGCTGCAGATTTCTGGCTGATCTGCAGCTTGTGGAAGGAAGAGTTGTGAAGGCTGACAAGCAGGAACGTAGTTGAGCCTAGAAGTAACAAATGCAAGGATAAGTGTTTCAGCAGCTTGAGGGGAGAGACAGTGGCGAAGGTGGGTGACATTGTGGAGGTGGGGGAAGGCAGAACGGGCATGGATGTGGGGTAGAAAGGATAGTTGAGGATCAAACAAGATGTCAAGGTTTCGGACTGGCTCATTGAGGTGGAGTGTATCCTTGGACTCTATGCTGTCAGTGCCTGAGGTGTGGAGGAGCTAATGGGAGCCTATCAAGTGGACCTCGGTTTTATTGGTGTTCAACTGTAGAAAGTTAGCTCTCATCCCAGACATTCTGTCAGGACATCAGTTGGGTGTCATCCATATGCACATGAAAGTTGATCCCACGTCTGCAGATGATGTCACCAAGAGAGAGCATATACCTATAATCCTTACATTTGATATAGCACCTTAACACATCTTCGCGACATCTCAAAGCACTTCACAGAATATCCTGCAAAGTGAATTGATTGTATATTTTGTGGGCGAAATGTTGTTGAAGAAGTAAGGACCAAGTACAGAGCCCTGAGGAACACTGCATGAGATGGTGCAGGGGCTGGAGGAGAAGCCGTTTGTGGAGACAAAGTGGAGACAATGTGAAAGGTAGGATCTGAACCAGTCAAAGACAGGACTATGAGCGGGGAGGTGGTGGAGGAGGATAGAGTGGTCAGTGTCAGTGTTTAACTTTACAGTATGTCCAGTGAAGTATTTTGAGACGCCTCAACGATATATAATAATATATAATAATAATCCTTGCATTTGATACAGCATCTTATCACGTCTTTGTGATCCTTCAAAGCGCTTCACAGAATATACTGTAAAGTGATTTGACTGTATATTTTGTTGGCGAAACGCGGCAGCCAACTATGATAAGGACAAATATGATATAATATATTAAAGTATATTAAATATTAAATGCAAGGATTTAACAGTAATTCATATTTTATTAATAATAATTATTAAATAATAATATTTTATTATTATTTTATTATTATTTAGTACACATAATGTATGTCCTGCATATACATCTGTTAGAATTTACACTTTTTGTATAATGTTAGAATCATAATAGATGTTGCGAACGGGTTAACGTTTAAGTTAAGTGTGTTGTGGGCAGCTGGACTGAAACTCCCTACACGTACACGAGATAACGGACTGTCTCAAGGACAGTGTGTTGTGTGTGTGAGGCACGTACACCCCATGAGGTGTTCACGTGAACCCAGCATGATTTCGACCGGGTGATCTAATATCCACACCATGATTGGATGAATATTGATATAAGAGTTCCGATAACTTTGTGTACGGGGCCGTCCCGGGTCGCGGAGACAGGGTACGGGAGATGGAGCCGTCCCGGGTCGTGGAGACAAGGATACGGGAGATGGACCGTCCCGGGCTGCGGAGACAAGGCTACGGAGATGGAAGACTAAGAGCTGGAAACACTAAGACTGAGGATATCAGATGGAAGATTGAAAGCTGTAAGCAAGAAGACTGAAAGCATGAAGAATCAAGCTTGTGTGCTGGAAAGACACAGTGTTGAACTCTTGAACTCGAGATATCTATAGTGGTGTTATTCTGTTATAAGATCTGTTGATTGTACCGGCCTTTGGTCTGACCCATCGGGATATTGGGGAATAACGAACGAATTATAATAAAACAGTCTGATATCTGGTTAGAGGAATTAGCGTTATTTCCTTGCAGATTTGGCTGATTTTATTTTCTAACACATCAAAGTAATTCAAGAAAGTAAAAGCAGGAAACATAACCTAGAAATTAATGTAAAGTAAGTTTTGGAAAGCAACGTGCATTTTTATAGCACCTGCAATGTTGACACTTTTTGAGGCACTGTATTTCACAGTAATTACAGTCACATGAAGTGGTTGATTGCTTTTTATAGTAAAAGGTGGCAGCTGTTTAGTGCACTCAGCAATTACCT